CGTAAAAATCCCTACTTGTGTCGATCGTGTGCGATTTTTGCACGGCCGTCGAGAGCCGTCAATATTTCTCGCGCTCGGTCTGTGGAGTTCCTGAATTTCAGTAAAAATAGATTCATAATTAGAATGGTTTCCGTATCAACTCTAAAAATACACAACCGAAATAGTTTCGGATTGTTCCACTTTTGCAGTAAGTAGTGCGCGAGAACATTATGACTGTTAGCGTCAATTAGGTCAATGTTAGTGATCGACATAAAGCATCGAGATGAAATATATAATAAAATGTGATTTTATGTCTCGAATAGAATAGACATAATGTATGTGGTCTATGTGCAGAGATCGGATGTCTGCATTTTAAATATTATAAATCTTTAAATAGGCAGATTATATTTATTTATATGTATATTCAAGTAAGTAATACACGTACCTACAATCAAGTTGTGTAACTATAAGGAAAAATAAGTTTCATTCGATTGTTATTAGATATTGAGTCATTATCGCCAACTTAGTGCAAACAAATTAAAAAAATTAAAATAATTTTACAGGAGAGGGTTTTAAAATATTTCTACATATAAATTTGATAGTAAATTGAATTTTTCTATACATTATAGTAATAAATTACGTAACCGATTATGTAACAGCTACATTTTTTTTGGATGGATGGATTGGATGTTAAGCCTTTTTATGGCGCTTACAATAATTTTGCTATCTCTATCTAAAGATTTTTGAGACTTTCAGGCGTTTAGCGCGGGAATACACGTCCGATTTCGTATCTGATGGTCGGATCCGACTATCGGATCGGATTCACTCAATACACGTCCGATAGGCGTCCGAATCTTTCGTCAGAATTTTTCTGATCTAACTGCAGTGTTGCCAATATGTGGGGAATTCCCGAAATGCAGGGAATTTCAACTAGACAACTCGTTTGGGGATTTTGTGGAGATTACGGCTATGCGGGGAAATGCCCTCGCATTCTAGCATTTTATCATATTTTGATTACTGATAAAAACACTATCTTTTTGGTTGTTTATAAACGATATTGATATTTTTTTCAATGTCGCACATTCCCCGCTTATGTAACAACATTTATATAGAATGATTAGCAAACCGCTTATATGTATAAAATTATCCGGAAGGATTTGAATCACTTTGTCTTGAATTGTAAAATGACTACTATTATCAGTCACCGACAAGAACCTGGGTCTTAGAGCTTAGCTTAAATATTAAGGTGTAAAGTTAATTTAACTTGGTGAGTTTATTTCTAATTATAGCGTAACGTATATATATAGATGGGCACATTTTGACTTCCTTATTTGATATATTTTTAAGCGTAACAATAATAAT